CCTCATCCAATCCGTTTTGAACCTTCTTTGAAACCTCCAGGCTCGAGGCTTGAATTTGGTAGTTCAGGTGGAAAAACCTAATAAGCTCAAGTTCTTACCAACTCAATCCTCATCCCTTAACTTCCTCTCTCTTCCCACCACCAAAACCACCTTCAAATCTAACATTTTTTCCAACCCTCTCTACATTCCACACTCCCTCATGTCCCACCATCCCCTTTGACCCCTTCAACATCATTGGATTGCCATCACATAGTTCTACAAATACCTACGTCTTCATGACCACAAGTGCCTTAATGCTGCCAATAACAAATTTCTCCCTGTGGCTTTTTCCTCATCCAATCCATTTCAGACCTTCACTAAAACCTCCAGGCTTGAGGCATGGATTTGATGGGTTGAGTGGAAAAGCCTAAGACGAGTGAGCTTTGTAATGTAAATGTCATTGTAGAGGAAGAGAAGATATCGTGGAAGAAGATGAAGTAGAAGATAAAGAATAAGCTTTATTGCCCAAAAATTTTAAAATTTAGATATAAAAATGAACTATTTTTTAAAGATCCTAAAAATGATGTTTTGTATCCAAAATAAATTGCTACATGTTATTTAATATGACAAATTATTACTTTGTTACTTAATTTTAATATCTCTTGACGTTAAAAACTAATATAATTGCTTATTGTTAATTTTATAGACTATAATTTAAAATGTAAGATTGATTTGAATGACATTGAATATTTTAAAGATTAAAGTGAATGTTTACTTCCAAAACAAGTGTTGCCTCTTGCAACTTGATTATCTACCTATTTGAGTAATGTGATTTTGAAATATGTTCTTTGCTTTAAAACATTGATTACATGGTTTGATGATAAAAAGGAAAACAACATTGACTTTTCAAGTAGTCTTTTAAGCATCTAATTCAATTTCTAGATCTTGTCAGTTGTCAAGTTGAAGCTAATGAATCTCTATTTTATATACATTTTAATTTTTAAAAATGAGAAATTTTGTAAATTTATTCTTATATAATATGATATTGTTATTTTTAGATTAAATTATTTTTTTAATATTAGAAGTTTAACTTACATTATATTTATATAATGTAAAGTAGTAATTCATTTTTTAATATAAAATTTAATCTTATTTAATAAATAAAATAAAAGCTTAATTATATTTTTATTCTTTATAAATATAACATATTTTATGATGAGTCTTTATAAAATTTGTTGTTAGTGTTTAGTCTTTAAAATGCTAAAAAATTAGATTTAATCTTTATTGTCAATTCTTTTTTATTAAATACTGAGATTAATAGAGAGATAATTCAACACTCTTGAGTAACATGCCACGCCATTTAATTTTATAATATTTTATCATTTAAGAATAATATTTATAAATAAATCCTTAAATATATTTTTAATAAATTGCATAAAAGTTCTTTTTTTTTTCTTCGACCCCATTCCTTTCTCTATTGGCCCACCCTAAACTCCCCCTCTCCCTCCTCTTCCCCTTCTTCACACCCCTATCCCTTCCCCCTCTCTTTCCCCCACCACACCCCTTCCCCACACCCATACTTCCTCCCTTTTTCTCTTCTCTACGACTACACCTTCACTCCCACCACCCATTCAATTTTGTTAGAAATTGTTGTGATATAATTTTTATATTTTTGTGATATCAATTTTGTTGCATGCCTTTTAGTTTTTGGCTGGAGTTATGGACAACTTATCTTCTTATTCTTATTATTTTTTAATTATAATTATTGTCATTGTTTTTTAGTTAGTTTGTCACATATTATACAAGTTTTTTTCATATTGATTTTTATCATAATATCTCTGTTTCCTACTATTATGTTACTATTGGGTATATTCTAGATTATTTTGTTGGAATGCTTTGAAAATGATTCAATTTTGCCGTATGTACAGTGCACGTTAATGTGATGTTGATGAAAATGGTGTTCTAACACTTGATCCTTGTCGTGTAATAAAACACTAATCAGTTTCATTCCAGTAGTTGTGAATATGATAATGGGATGGATAACATTCAATGCCCAAGATACTATATATGTGGTGTAGAAAATGAATATGAACACGAACACTCACAACCATCCAGAATTCGTTGTTAGTTTTAAGGCCTCGTTTGATGCTGAATCTAATATATTATGCTAATTTTTTTTTCTGTTTATTATTGATGGAAGTTTAGATGTGTAAGTTAATCTAAAAGTTTTTGAGTGGTGATGCACCGATTTTAGGGGCTTTTAAGTTTTTGAAATTTGTCTTCTGGTTTTAAACTCTACCGTGCTTAGTTTTGTTGCTTATATAAACAGCCCCTTTTCCCACCCCACCCCACCATCACTCCCCTTCCCCCTACCAGCCGCCATTCTTTATCTCTTCTCTCTCTCTGAATATCAATTTTTAAGTTTGCATGTTTGAGTTTCAAGTTCATTTCTATTTTTTAGAAATTTTGTGAGATTTTGAATGTTGGGTTGTGTTTTGTTATTGTACTAAAACATTTAATGTTGATTTTTTATTTGCTTATATCATTTGTTGAATCTTGAAACTATGAGTGTTTTAGATTTGTTTTGTCATCTTTTTTTTTTCATAAATTTTGTAGCTTTTAGAGAGTGAAAAAGGAGAAGGGAGCTCAGGAGTGAGGCGTCAAAAAGGGGGAAGAGAATTTTGGAACTTTTTTTTATAAATATTTAAAATGTATTTAGGGACTAATTTTTAAATATTAATATTAAATAATAAAATATTTAAAAAAATAAATGACATAACATGTCATAAAATTAACTCTTTATTATCTAACTCAACACTTAATAGTAGAGAATTAACGATAAAAATTAAATCTTTAACTTTTTAACTTGTTCAAAGTTAAATCTTAACAAAAAGTTTTATAAATATTTATCACAAAATGTCTAATATTTATAGGAATAAAAAAAAATATAAGCAAGTCTAAAATAAAATATGATTCTTTGTATTTATAAATTTTATATTGAACCAATGATATGCTTGAAATTTGTATTAAAAGTTACCATAGATGTGGTATACTATCGTGTGTATTCAAGTTTTTTTATAAGTTTGTTAATTTAAAAGAAAAATCATAAAATTGAAGGATATAATATTTAAAAATTTATCAATATTTTTGTTTGAATTTTTGAATGTTAAATTTATAGAATAAAATTAAATAAATGTTTGGACCTTAGAGCAACCATGGAACACAAAATTTTATGAAAGAATGAAGAAGAATAAAGAAATTTTGCATAGGAAAAAGATGAGAAATTGAATAAAATAAGTAAACAGTAGTTACATTCAACTCCATCTCTATTTGCACATTTTCTCTTTTTTGCGTATGTGTAATTTTCATCTTTTTGATTCTGTTGTTTTATTATTTAGGAGATTATTAATACTATTTTATGTACTTGATTAATATTCTCATGTAATCTTATTTGATCACAGTAAAATAATTTCTTTAGTTTAGAGAATATGTAATTTTTACTTATTACATTAAAGAGATTTTTTACATAAAAAAATATTGGTGAACATTTTCTTTGTTAAAATACTCTTCAAGGTTCTTGCAAGTTTGAAAAATTTATTTTTGTTATATTTAATTTTTTTATTATTGTGTTATTGACCTCTATTATGATAAGGATAAAAAATTCTTTTTTTTTTTTTTGAGTAAAAGGATACTATGAAAACATAAGATGGAAACAGAATTTTACTTTGAAGTAAAAATAATAAACAAAAAAAAAAAAATTATAACATAACACAAACTAAAATAGAAGCTAGAGATTAAAACCAAGTCCATGCACCTTTTGTCTAAGAAATGAATGAGCTCGAGGAGATGTATAGTATCCAATGAACTTCAAATACTTGGAGTCAGAGACATTATCCACCTTAAAATATTTTATAATTTATTTTTCTAATAAAAATAATAGCGGGGGTGTCATTAAAATTGAGAAAATGAAGAAATTACAATAAAAACATAACATAATTTTAATGAGAATTTTCAATTGTTTTGTGATCTACTATCTGTCTAAGATGAACCATATAAAGCTTTATTCCCAACTTGTGAGTGCTGCGTACAAGAGTTGGTTCCATGTATCTGGCAACCCTGCAACACACCAATGTGTACAGTCCATGCCTTTGAATCCGTTGTAAGAACTAGGATGTGCATCTTTTCTCAACTGTGAGAGAGTTGTAATGTTGAGTAGATGAATAGGCTTTGTTATGATCTTCAACACATCTTCCACTACATACAATGACGGTGGCAACCCACTTGGGTAAGTGGATCCACTTATTGGCTGTGTCTCCTTTGAACAATTTCTCACTTCTGGTTCATTCCACTCAGTGCCACTAATTATGCAAAGCAAAAATGACAACACCACATCTTTTAATATTATTTTTATTAAATAATTTTATAATTAAGTTCCTAAAATTAAAAAAATTTATACTTTGAAAGTTTGAACGGATATCCTTAAAATTTTAAATTATTTCTAATTGAGTTTCTTCATTACGGTTTTATTAAAATTTCATTATGTATTGACGACCTAATTAATTTTTTAAAATAATTCAAGAATTATGTTGTTAGTTTAATTATTCAATAATTCCTCAACTTCTTAAGTTTTTTTTTAATTATATATATATATATATATATAATTCGTACAAGGCTAACTAAATAGGAACTTGAACTCATTAAGACTAAAGTTATTAATAAAACACACATAAATTTTATCTAATAATAAAGATGGTAATAAACAAAGGAGATTAAAATGCGTGTTATGAACATTATTTTTAAAATTTTTAAAAAATATTATTTTTGAACACTTTATGGCCTAACTATTTTGAGGTTTGAATTGATTAAATGACAAAAGAATGTTTAGAACTTACTTGTAATGGGAAGGAGAAATTCCTTGAAAAAGAACTTTGGTTTTGGTAGGATCTACCTCTTCATTTACCCAATTAGCCCATGTTGATAGACCAAGTTTAAATGCTTCCATACGATCCATGTCTTTCAGTATCTTGTCATCTGTTTGAACATAATCCCATCTGCACCACAGAATGGCCTATTTACTTGTTAGCATTAATTGTCACAATCACAATTTTCAATTACATTACATGGTTTTGAGGAAATCCTACGGTTGCTTGGGTCCTCTGCGGTACCACCAGAGCCAAGTGTTGAAAACCAAAATGTCCATTTCTTTCCATATACTTCCACTCTTAAGAGAATCAAGCTTCAGGACCCGACCAATCTTTTCCTCTTCAATGTCAACCAAATATGAAGAATGAAAGATAATCACTGAAACTCCATAGTCCTGCAAAACCATTTTAATTACATGAAATTTTTTGTGAGAATAGATAATCTAAGAGACTTTGTAATGAAATAGCTCACTGACTTGGAATGTGTAGTTAGACATGGACATATTGGTTTGCTCTAATATTTGACTTTGAGGTACAGAAGAATGAAGCAAGCATACAAGTGACTGCCATTGGTTGAGACTGACTGAATCTCCAATAAACATGATCTGCTTCCCCTTAAATAGTGTCAAGAAAATTTTCCCATCAAATCTGCAAAGGATATTTTTTATTATTATAATTGTTATAAGAGTGCTAAAATAAATTAGTATAAAACTAAAATTTTTTTAAATTTAAAATGATTTATTTTTTTAAATTTTAGAGAAATTAAATGAGATGGGTTTGTTGTTTTCTCACTACTTTATCATGCACAATCATCTGACATAGGAATTTTCCCAAATACCACCAACCTATGTGAAATGAATGGATGGAAACATCTCTGTCTCAAATATTTCTTCAAGTCCCTTCACTGTGATTATTTAGTTTCAGTTAATAAATACATATTTATTCACTAAAAGACAGAAAGACTCATGTTTATGTCTAATTTGACTAATAAACAGCAAAATGTGCCAAACTATAAAAATTTGAAATCTTTCCGAAGAAAAAAGGTTCATCCTGAAGAGTTGTTAAACCAGATCAAATCACATTTGAGACGTTAATATTATTTGACAATAAAAAAATGCAACACCTCTGTTTTCATGTTGTCCTTCACTAAAATAAATGGGTTTAAATCTTTTAATCAAAATAAATGCCTCGATCCAGATTATCCACCTTGCTGTGTGTAATTATAAAAAAAAACATTAACAAATAATAAAAGCCGTTGACAATAAAAGGGTAGTACAGAAAGCTGTGTCACATCTTAAAAGCAATGCAAAATGTATTTTCAGCACTAAAATGAGACAATCAAAAATTGTTTTTCAAAATGATTGTACATATAAAAATAATAAATAAACAAAATAATTCTATGTAATATTACATATGTCAAATTTGTAATGTTTAAATAATAAAGTTCTACCCTTAAATGCACAAAATGACAAGATTACCTGTACTTGAAACAGTGAAAATTATTTATGAAATATAGTAAAGTAGTCTCTTCATATGGAGTGAACTGGTTTTTCATGAATATCGATGTGATATCAAATGTGTGCACAAAGAAATTATAGACTGAAAATAAAGAGAAAGTGAAGAGAAGAAATGAAGTTAATATGAACCTTGGTAAAAGGCATTGGTGGGGTTGCCATCTGTATTTGAGGTATTGGCGATCAGGACGACCATATTTCAAGCAATCAAACTCTTTACGAATGTGAGGGCAGGTTGAAGAATCATAGAGAGGATAGGATTCATCCCACACCCATCTTCCTTCATACACATTGCAACTCAATTCTTGTGCTGATCTTTCCCACTTCGTGTTGGACTTCGAATTTGATTGAACATCTCCTCCAACATTAGCCAAACACAGCCATGGACACAGCCAAATCACCCCAAAAATGCCCACTTTGATCCAACCATGTATCCTCTTTCCAACACCCATCTCTCTCTCTCTCTCTGTGTGTGCAAAGGCTCAATTCTGTGAAGCTCTGTGCCTGAGCTGCAGATATATATTTTCAAGATAAATTGAACAAAGGCAGTGTCATCAATGTATAATCAATAAACCAAAATTGCTCTCTCTCTTGAAATATGAAATTTATTTAGAAAAAAAAAAATATGTTATTTAATATGCGAATGAGAAGAGTAAACTTGCATCATGTGATTATACACACACAGTAAAAGCTTAAAATAATTGAAGTTATGACTTTTTGAATCACGTGAGAAAACTCTCCCTGTGAAAGAATGAATCAAGCGAATTACTTATTTTATTCTCTGATAAAAGTGATTTTCTTATTAAATATTCTTAGTTAAAATAATCTTTAATCATGTATACATAATTAAGAACAACTCTTGCCTTTAACAGGAAACAATTGGTTAATTGTCAACTGATGCGATACGACTTTTGTTTTGTAGTTAGAAAAATTGGATGGATGGTATGTTGACAGAAAAGTGAAGTTTTTAATTGACTGGAAGAGGACACGCCATGTGCAAATTGGATTAGTGTTTTATTTTCCACTAAATTAGGAACCTAAATCTGTAGCACTTGCTGTCTAATTATCTTAATTTCACATGCAACATATGATCAACACCTTACTCAAACAATGAATAGGGAAGAAGCCATGAAAGCTGTCAATTTGCTTTATACGATGAAAACGGTAGTTGTTAGAATATGGCAACATGTGAACGCTACATAATTATATTTTTTTATTTAATTATTTTTTATGATATTCTTTTAAAACTTATCTTTTCTTAGTCAACTTAAATCACGATATCGGTATTAGTGATTAATTAATTCTCTTTATTCAACTCTTTTTTATATACATAATTTCTTAGTTTGAAAAGAAAAACTTAAAGGTAATCCATAATTTGAGAACTTTCAAAAGACATAAAATAAATATTAAATAATAATAATGAAAAGTATCGCATAAAAGAGAGAACATAGTAAAAGATGTCCTCACATATTTAAATGAAGATTTTAATTTATAATATAGCCTTGAATAACAAAATTTAACTTAAGAAATAACTAATAGCTTTTTAACAAATAAAAAATCCCTCTTTTTTTAATTCTTAGTTAACGTGTATCACAACATCTATTTTAATAATTAAATAATTCACTTAAATATATTTTTAATAAATAACTCTTTTTCCTATAATATCTATTAGACTAATAATATTTTTTTATTCTAATAACTTTGACTTAGATATTTATCCTTCCTCATAATTCAATTTTATTGATTACCAATTAAAAAATTTATTTAATGAATAATTTATTGTATATATATTTTTAAAATAATAATAATATAAATTCCCATGCTATTAATTATGCATATTCTTGAATTTTTGTATATTTTTTTAAAAAATAAATAATATTTTTTCTGATAAGAATCATCATATTAAATTTTTCTCTCAATAATATTTAAATTTTTATTAGGACGTAAATCATCAATTGAGATAGTTGATCAAGACTTTTTTTTTTTTTTCCTAATAATTGATCAACACTTTAATGTTATGTATAATAATAATAATAATAATAATAATAATAATAATAATAATAATAATAATATTATTATTATTATTATTATTATTATTATTATTATTATAGATGAGAATCTATTAGTTAGCAAGGAAAGTATTTAGTGAATTACTCTCCTTTGTTACGTGTATATTTCAAAATTAAAATTGATTAAAAATATTTATGAATTACACTTATTGTAAACATTTTACATTTTATTTGTATTTTTATTAAATTTGTATTAAATTTTAAAGATTAAAATTTGTATTTAACTTTATCTTATTACTATATATAATTTTTAGAATTTTTTAAAGTATATAATTTTTCATTTAAAAAAATTATTATCTTATATAAATTTTTATTTTTATTTTTTAAATATACATATTTATATTTATAAAATCTATAATACTTAATTTATTATTTGCAATAACTATAAAATTAAAATTTTGCGTGATTAAAATTTTGTAAAGAGTGTTCTTGGATTAAATCAACTTTTAAATAACTCATTATATCTGATCATAAAATTAAAATTAAAATAATTAGAAAAAATTATTGTTGAAAATAATTTTACAATATAAACAAAATAGGTAGATTGATCTCTTTATTTTTTATTTTAGTTTAATTTAGTCTTTTAATTTTTCTTTTTCTTATTTTGATTTTTTAATTTAAAATATTTTAAATAAATCATTTTTTATTACAAATTTTATTTTTTTAAAAAATTATTGTTCATCTTCTTCTTTGTTATAAATTGTAACAACAAAAATATAATGTATTCATGAATTTTTTACTTATCTCTTTTTCTTCTATTTCCTTTCTCATTTTTTTTTCTTTTTCTTGTTTCTCTTACCACTCATCCATACCTCCAAGTCATTTCTCTCTCAACTTGGAAATTTGACAAAAACACAGTACATTCCAATAAATTTTCTTCTTTCTCTTTTCTTATATCATTCATTATCTACACCTTCTCGACATCTTTTTTTGTGAACTCTAATAAAAAAACACATTTTAAAGGGTATATAAAAGATGTTTTTATTATCAATATTTCTTTTCTATATTGTTGCTTGACTATTAATTTTAGGCCATACAAGAAAATAAAATTTCAATTAAGAGGGAATCCATAAAGGAGAAAGCAATTCATGGAAGGATTAATGAAAGGCAAGAGAACTAAGAAAATAAGGAAGAAAAAATAAAAGAAAAGGAGGATGAAGGTTTTTAAAATGAACAAAAAGAGAAAAGTCATAGGAGACTTTGTCTCACTAGTGCAAAAATTACTTTCAACATTAGTTAAAAATGACATTTTACATTAGTTAAAGAACAAATGTAGATACAACTAATATAGTAAGTCAAGACTTTTTACATTGGTTATAAAATAACTAATGTAAAAAAGTCATTTTCTACGATTATAAATAAGTTGATATAAAAAGTGTTCTTATGCTCAAGATGAGCACGCCTGTGCTTCATTAATAATTCAAGTTAAAGCAAAGCAAGTAAACAAACAATTGAGAAGGAAAAAAGAAAGATTAAGATTGCAATATATCAGCAAACAAATTATAAAGCCAAAAATAATAATAAAAGCAACTTACCTGAGATTATAATATACAAAGAATTATGGAAGCTTGCCACACTAGATCACAAATGAAGAAAGCACAATATTCGTCAATATTTGTTGAGTTTATAAATGAAGAAAATGCAATTTTCATCAATGCAATGTACAAAAACAAATGAGTTAATGAAGAAAAAAACACATAATGAAATGAAATTCATCATTGTCGTACTTAAACTGGAACATGATTAGTATTCATCAATGGCATACCCAAAAATGATAATAGAAGTTAAAAAATGTATGTAAAAATTTGTGTTTATCGTCCTAATTAATAAATCGCATGCAGATAAGTGTGAATATGTGAAATTTCTCTATAATTTTTTAAATAATAAACTATTCTATAATCAACTTTTTTTCTATCTATAAACATAAGTTTCCTTTGATATGTCCTTTTATTTCTATTAACCTTTAATAATTTATAATTCGGTTACTTACTAACTAAAGGAAAACTTTTCAATCTTATAGTTCTTCAATCCGGTAACATTTTATAAATTTTGTTAATTTTATTTCACTTTAAGTTTAACATTAATATCTAAAAAAATTATTAAAAATATATTTATTATATAAATTTATATAAGTATAATAAATATATTTTTCAATAAAACTTTATTTTACTAATTATTTAAATTCAATTTTTTTGTTACAAGGAAAATAAAACTACAAGCAAAAAAAGGCTACCCAAAAACTATTTGCAATAAGACTAACATACATGTTAGGGGAACATTTGAAACAAGAATTAGTTGTTGAGCTTGAGAGTTCCTCTTTGTAGCTAAGTTAACAATGTAAAAATTTTCTTGTATTAGTACATGTAGATGCTTTGATGTCCAATCTTGAGCAATCAAGTCCTTCATCGAGCACCTAATGATATGGTAAGCATGGTGTTAAGGCACTACACTAGAAAGGAGATATGAGAGTGTTTCTACATCAACTTTGAAAATGTAAATTGTTCTAAAATATCAAGCTTTGCAAGATTGGAGACATGGAACCGTTCTTAGAAGTATTATTTGGACAATGGTTTAGCCCTTGCTTTCCAAAGTCAATACTTTGGAGAGTAGTTCCATATGAAATCACTCTTTGATATGCACTTCTAACAATGGTTCCATACAAACCACTCACCAAAGTCAAGTTCTGAGAGCGATTCTTTAAATTGCTTTCTAAAGTTTTTAAAACATTTGGCAGATTTTTTTAATAATTTCACATTATTATAGATTTTTTTTATATCTAATAAACCATAATTAATAATTCAAAAATAGTTGGGAACATTTTAAGTTCTTGAATACAATTGATATTGTAACATCCTTATTTATTTAATACAATAATAAAAATATAGTTTTGGAATTGACAAGGGAAAATTAAATTAAATTCGTTTGCTTGCTTAATGCAAAATGGAGAAATATAAAACATTCATTCAATTTACTCATACTTATATAAATTTAAATGATAAAGCAATGGAAAATAGATAAATTTAAGTAGGAAGCTGAAATAACATTAATGTACATTGTTCTGGATTAAATTACAACATTTTCATAATTACAAAATATAACTTTAAAATACATTAGACTCTTCTACATCATTTACAAAATACAAAATATGATAAGTCTTAATAAGCAGTCTATTTACCAAAAAAATTGAAGACGATACTAGTCATCATTCCTAAATCACCCCTCCATTTTTGTTATTTCCTCTGGGGGATAAGTCTTCGTCTTCAACAAGATCACCTGCATCAGCTACCACTTTAGTGCACATGATTAGCTCTACAGTACAGTGACTTGGTCTTTCATGTTGGTCATGAACCAAAAAAGTATAAACATAATCCCATGCATTTGGC